TATTCGTAGTCGTAAGATTTTTGTGAAAAGGGCAGCTGGATATCTCTTGATTCACCATTACAGGTAAACATATGTGCAATTTTATTTAACACATCTAATGAGGATTTCTCAAACTATCATACATGCAGACTTTATTTTGGCCCATTTAGTATTATTGAGCTACTCGCTTACCCTGGACAACAAGTATGAATAGGACCCTGTGTCCTGAAACACTTTAATTTAGAAGATATATTCTTGCTTCTTGTACCCTTGATCTAGAACAAAATTGAATGTTTGAAAAGATCCGGATACTGTTGAATAATCAAATTCGTTGGGTTCAATATTCGTGGGCAAGCAAAATTTTCCTAGTTTGTGAGGACATAATTTCGTGGATTACTCGTTTATCCCGTGGTTCAATGAATCAATTTGTTTACAAAATGAACTTTCATGGGGATGTATATTCGTGGGTAAGGGTGACCCACGAAATCAACGAACATTGGTCACCCTCGAAAGATGATGATTCCACAGTATATAGTAGGCGATTTTTTTTTCGAAGAAAAAAGGAGAGATTACAAGATGAACAAATTCAGTGAGTATAACCTTGAAAAATGAACTATTGTGAGCTATAGTTTAATATAGTTAACTGTAGTAACTACTTCGATACTTTGATTTACTATGAAACTTTACTTTAATTTTTTTAGGGGATTTTAAAGCTAATAATCTCTGAAATTCGATAATGATAATGTAAAATTCGAAAATAATTAGCAAATATATAAGAAAATCCTACATTCAAAATTTTTAAAAAATGAACATACGAGGGGTGATCAAAAAGTTCGCGAACTATCTCTATATTTACAAAACCACAATTCAGATCAGAATGAAATTTGGCACACATATAGTCATACAAATGTTCTATAAATAACAGATGTTAAATAATTTTTTGCTCCGTGTTTGTGACGTCACAATGTGAAAATGACGTCAATATGTAGGTCACTTGTGACAAAAAATGGTTGACTCAGTCGTACTCGAGCAACGAACGGCTGTAAAGTTTAACGTATATCTTGGAAATTCTTTTGCAGTAGAAGATGATAATTTGTACAAGGTTTATGAAGACAAAAGACCTACCAGACGTTCAATCATTAATTGGATTGATTGTTTTAGTGAAGGCGGGGAGATGGTTAAAAATGATGTTTGTTCTGTTCCCCTGCGAAAGCAAACCGGGGAAAAGACGTGTTCTTAGCTGAGCAATTTGTTATGAAACATCGTCAAGTTACAATTAGAAAAATGGTTGAATATCTTAGCAATACTATAATCATTAAATCCCTAGAATATCGTTTACTATAGACTTTTAACATATAAGATATGATAAAAAGAATGCGCCCATACTTTATCCACATTTGATAAACGAAGCTCCCGAGACTGAGAACTCGGGTTGTGATGGGTCAGCATACTAATTGTGGGAAGGGATATCCTTATCCACCCATCCTATTGCCGAGATTTGGCCATTTCTGACAGGTGGACTGTTCTTGTTATGAAAAATAACTTGCATGGTAAGAAATATAAGACTCGGAAAAACCTCTTACCTTCTTTGAACAGACTGCTACGGAGCATGTCACGTGACTGCCTGGATCACGTGATTCGCGCATGGGCAGAACAATGGCAGATGTGCATTAAAATCGGAGAGGACTACTTTAAAAAATAATAAACACTGAAACCTCATTTTATGTCTTTTAAGGAAGTTATTCAATTAGTTCGCGAACTTTTTGATCACCCCTCGTATAAGAATTGGAGAACATTAAATACAGGTAAATATCAGTATCTCGACCATAAGACATCTCGAATACCCCGCTTATGTCGAAGTGTATTCAAGGTCCCAAGTCCGTATCTCGAAGAGAAGTGAATTTTCCGGGTCTACTGAACCCACCTGGCGTCTTGACTTCACACATTCTCGCCAGTGGCTATTAATTAGCACCTTCTAAACCTGGCGCACCTTAATTAATCCCAAGCTCATGCCGGGTATCTATGACACGGTAATTGGTATGACAGCTTGAGTGTTTGGTGTAGTCTACGACCGATAAAATAAACCATTTCACAGCCGCTCAGAAATTAATACAGACAATATTACAGATAATGCATTGGATAATGCATTCTATATTAGAAACATCATGAATTCATTAAACACGAAGATTTTTCGCAATAAACTTGATTTAAACAGTTATGAATTAAGTTGTAATGCGCAGTGATGTGATTGACTGTGCGATTGCTTTCAGGTTTATCTAAGTGCTACGTATATAACCATGATAGCCATTTGCCGTTTTCATTGTTTACATGTATTTCGTTAAATTTATGTTTTATAGAAGTGCTCCGTAATGTAATAAGCTTTGAATAATATGTACATACACAGTATAAATACTGATTATTTTTTGTATTACTAGATAACAGGCTGTACTGAATTTCATTAAATTATACTGAATGGAAAAAGAAACGCAGGATAGCATAATATGCGATTTTTTTTTATTACTGCTTAACCGAAAATTATGAAAATTGTTCAAAGGGTTATCTTGGTTACTGTGCATTAAAATCAGTGTTCAGAATTATTCAATCGTGAAATGTATGACGTCACGTAGGGAAAGTGGAAGAAAGTCGGAAACACTTGCAAATTGATGACGACATGTTTTTCAAGACATCTCTTAGTACCAGTTGCTGCACTTAAGTTATACACATCGTTCTTCGGTATTTACAGACGATGTGCATTTCTTGCAGTCATGGTACGGTTGACGGAATTTTCATGGAGTCTAGCTATTGCATTGTCTAGGTAAGGACAAATGCAACACAGGGTTTCTGTGCAGTTTGTTGTGAATATTTTCACCATAGAACATCTTATCCGTCTTCAAACAGTGCCTAGAGAGGTTTCCAACCAACCGTGACGATGACGTTGACGCATAACAGCGCCACGTCAAGATCTGGCTATTCATCCTGCCACCTGTATAATCACCATCACATTACCCTAAAACTGCTATTATTGGTGTTTCTTTAAGTCACGCACGCGTGCGTCGTTTGCCCTTTTTCCGGCATGTTAACTCCCGTCCTAATGCTACCAGGGTTTGTCGACTTTCTCGCAAACTATCACATTCATCCACTTGACTGGTCTCCGTAAAGTCCATCTTTTCCGCATCTAACATCTTTGGGACTACATGTACGTGGATGATAGGGTTCAAAATGCCGAAGCTGGTCTCAATCAACTTAGGGCTGCCTTGTCGGAAGGGTTGAATAATATCCCTATTAGAATGATAATCACACTGATGAACTCCTTGCATGGGAGAATCGCGAGGGAGACATATGAGATAATGAGAATTTTCAATTTTCACTTTTGGGGGGTACCGTCATATGAGTTATAATAACTCATAAATTACTGGGAAAAATCAAATGAAATTTTGGTTACATGTTTATCAAAGACGAAATTTAATGTAAGGTAGGAATACTGAAAAATACGTCAGAAAAATATAACCTTATTTCACCTAAAAAGTTTACTCTGCGTTTCTTTTTCCTTTCAGTATTTTATGATTATACACGATAAAGAGAACAACGACATTCTTCTTAAAATTTATTGCGAATATGCTTGAATCTTTACAGCAAAAAAACTACATGATTGGTAATACAAGTGTTATGCATGAAAAGATATATACAAACATACAGGAAGTTACTGATTCAAAATTGGAAAACAAGTTCGGATATCTCGAACCCCCGGATATCTCGAAGTTTTGTCCGAGTTCCTTCAAATTTGAGATACATATTTCACTGTATTACAATTTAAAATTTATAGTTAAAATACTTTGAATTACTATGGTAAAACATTGATACTTTAGTCAACTATCTTAACAAAAGAAGTTTTTGTTAAGATTAGAACACATCCTGGAAGACCATAAGATTGTAACACCAAAATGATGTCATACATGTACTATCTAAGAATTATCCAGAGGTATTGGAATATTAGTGGATAGTGCTTTTGGATTAAACTACCACAAAATGTTAAAGCTATATATGACGTATCGGAGCTTGAAAAATAATAATACGATATTGAGAGTAAATATATATACATGATTTATGTTATTTACGTTCAAATTAAATTTTTCACCGATTTTGAACCTGAATAACCTCAGGTTTTTCTAGTTAATATGAATTAAAATTTGTCTGTTATTTAAATCGGTTGTTGTTTTAAATTTTTATTATCTTTGAAAAGTGATTGATTTGGATTGTGTAATTTACAGGAAAGTCCTATTTTTATATAAAGTAATAAAACAAAAAGAAAGATCTTTTAATTTTGGTTACCTGAACTGATAAAAAAAACCCCGCCATATATGACTTTAATATAGATCGTTTTGAAATACATGTAATATACAAGTTTAAACACATCCCACCACAACCACATACACTCTTACATTTGTTGAATTTTTGCCTACGAAGATTCTTAAAAGAGATTAAAAAAAATTAAAAGAAAAATTAGTATTATATCGCAACCAAATTTATGTACCATAAAAGACCTTTCGATGACGTAACATTCGTTATAATAGACATTTTTTTATTTGATATTTTTCTTTATTTGTTTCTGAAGAGGAATGTAAATGTGAGGTTCATTGTCTGAAGGCTGATATGACTGATATGGAGAATTGTCACGAAGTTCAACATAAGTGTCATTGTTTTCCTGTCCTGTATTCGTATCATCGTTCGGCCCAGTCGTCTTTGGAATTGGTTTTGCTTTTCTGGAAGAAAGAACTTATGCAAATATACATAAAGTAGCACAAATAAATTGTGTTTAAATTTTAGTTTTTTCTAAACAAAGATATCATAGGTTTTTTTGCATTTCGTATCACTCTTGGCTAATAAGGTAAGCTGGCAAGTGAAATTAATATCTAAGAAAAATCTGTAAATTGCTTAAACGTGAGCGAGTATCTCAGAGAGAGAGAGAGAGAGAGAGAGAGAGAGAGAGAGAGAATATACCTCAAATAACAAACAACAATGGAGATAACGACTGTAAAGGATACACCGATGGCAGCTCCAGAGAAACCAGATATTATGTCTAACAAAAGATCATCAAAACTTTTTAA